GCAGCCTTTGTATCGCACCCCAGTTAGGGAAGTGAGATGCCCAGATCTCTACTTAAAACCAGCCCGGCGCCTCTTATTGCTGCATTTTCAATAAGCCTAGAACTGATGAGGAAAGAGGTGGAGGCCCAGCTGGTTCACATTTATATTGTGAACAGCATCCCTTTGCCACGCTCCACACTTACACCTGACCCCGTCGTCTTTACCACTTTTCCAACTTGTCTTTTCAGGATGTGCAGCTATGCCAGGTCATTGCAGCACATATGAACTTATAACTTCTCTAATCACTTTATCTGTACCGTGAGTGCTCTTTAATCTTATATATAGAAAACAGCATGCTCGGAGCTCATGCGCACTAAGGCCCAGACTTGTGCACATGGTAAGCTGCAGAGCTAACCACAGTGGGGTAATAAGTAGATGAAAATGATCCAAATGGCAACAAAGGAACAAGCCTACCCTGTTCTCAAAAACATACAACACTGATCTTAAGAAAATAAGTAACACTCATTTGCTACAAAAAAGTACTTGAGAAAATCAGTCACAATAAGTGAATAGTAAGACAGTTCAGTGAGCTTATGGTGCTAGAGCACTGGGCAGGCAGAAGGAGCTGCTCTCCCGTCCCGCATCCTGCATCCTGCCTGGCAGCCCCCAGCCTCCCGGGCCTCTCCCACTGCCAGGACAGAGCAGCCAGGAGGGAACTGCCTGGGGGGTCAGGAAGCTGGGCTGCTGTCCTGCCTGCACACTCTGTGGATTTGTACCATGAATTGATATTTTCGTCAATTATCTAGGTACGCTTTTTTTGTTTGGCAGCTTGCCAGTAAGGGGATCCAAACCCATGACCTTGGTGTTATACGTCTGTGCCCTAACCGACTGAGCTACCTAGCCAGCCCCACCATCTACTTAAAGAGTGTGGAGGGCCTTCCGACATGCCAAGTGTCCTGGCATGGCAAGGCCCCTGCCAAATGCTACCCTCTGTCAGGGTGTGTTCAGCCCCTTGCTCCCCAGCTCCTCCAGGCACAGTGACAATTTAATCTTCATCCCCCAAGAAGAATGCCAGTCTGCCAAGGACAAGTCAAGGGTGCCTTAGCCATCTGGGTGCATTAACACACCAAGCATGGTCCCTGGCACGCAAGTGGAGAATAGACAGGTCTGTGGAGCCTGGGCCTGTGTACTGATTCAAATCATTCCCTGGGATCCATGTGTCCTCCACATGCTTTGTAAGCCGCCAACGTGGCAGCACTGGCACCGACACGGCATCTACTCCACTATGGTCAGTGTGGTCCTGTCCCCTGGTGGGCTTTGGTCACTGAGAAGCCTATGCTGTTCTTCCCTCATCTCCTTCCCTGCAGGTCCATGCTGTGTTCCACTCCATCTTACTGACTGTATGATCACAGCTACTTTGATTTGCTCCAAATCACTTACTCAACAAGTAATTACTGAGAGACCCTGGCAGCCATGGTCAATGGGTGGGACAAGCTGCAGCCCCAGGGAGCCGGCCCTCCCGAGGGGAAATGAGGCAGTGGGAGGAGGTGCTGAGACAGGCCGGGACATGGGACTTGAAGCCAAACCCCTCCTCCCAGGGCTGCCGAGCTGAGGGATGGCAGCACAAGGAAAAGTCCAGAGTGGGTGGGCCTGGCAGCTCGTAAAGGCAGGAAGGGCTGGTGTGGCCACAGCGTGATGGAGGCAGGGAGTCACAGCAGTGGGGAAGGGGCCACCAGGCTGAGGCACCGGAAGCTGAGGGGAGACTGACACATGTTTTACAAAATCACGGTGTGTCTATGGGAGAAGCAAGTCCAGAGCATTAATGTCCTCAGCAGGGCCACCCAGCACAGCCAGGAAACCCCAAAACCTGAAGCTTGTCACTGTCAGGCCTGACTTCAGGAGGTACTTGTTAACTGAAGAATCTCAGATTAGTGGCACTTCGATCTCTTAAGATGTTTTACTGTGAAATACATGTACGAGGGAATCACTATGATACGCATGTACTCCGGCACACATAACGAGATGGGCACTGAGAAGCCCCTCTCCTCCCTGGAGGTGACTGCTCTCCTATGCTGGGTCAGCCATTCCCATGTTTTCTTTATAGTTTTATTCCTCAAGTTTTCCTAAAAATCAGCTTGTTGAGCTGAGCCTGTGTTTGAACTGCGGACAGAGGAACTGTCCTGTGTGTGTCCCTCATGATTTCCTCGTGGGCCACCCTGTCTTTGAGACTCATGCCATCTATCCACATATTCCTTCTCCCTGCCGTTCACTGTTTAGCTACCCCCTGCCAGGCTGTCCGAAGCTCATCCATGTCCTGTAGACGTGCACTTTGGAGGTGGCTGACTCAGGGGAATGACTGTGGACAAGCTTCATTCGGGCACATACCTGGAGTGGAGTGGAGTCGCAGAGCAGCACCGTTGTTTTCCATGTGGTCGTAGCCAGCAAAGCCCAGGCCGGTGAAGCAGATTCCTGCACGCACCTGGGTGGGCACATAGTATTCTCTCCCTTTCCTCTTGCTGCCTGTCCCGGGGGTGACTGCTTCTTAGTTCTTTCCAAAAGGCTTAGGTCAGCTCCTTTGCTTGAGTTTCCATAATTCACAAGCCTCCAACAAAAACTTCTTGCAATGAAATTACCTCCAGGTCCTCTCTCTTTATGCACCAGTGACATAAACTGACCCCAAGTCAGACCATGGAGCCATGGGGGGTCGGCCCTGCCTATTGGCTTACGCTGAGGCCAAGGGGAGGCCCAACTCCTCCACTGTTCCATTTTGATGGATGATATTGTGGGACTGGCGTTGAAGCCACATGAGGTTTTTAAATGTTTTTGTAACACGCATGAACTGAAAGGAAGCTCAGGAAGAGAGAAAAAATAGTCTTCGGCCACAGCAGGGGGTGGCCATCTGCATCCCTCTTCAGGGTGGATGCCTAATAACAGCGGCTGCCGCTATCAGCTGGCAACTCCTTCCAGCCACGGGGGCCTCTGATCGCCTGCCCTGTGAGCAGCCCTCACACCGTGCCTTGCCCACTTCTCCTCACGGATGCAAGCTGGCTCCAAGAACCTGCGACCCTGCTCTAAGCCTCCTCCTCTGAGTCTTGAAACAAGCATAACTAACTCCCCTGGCTAGCAAAAAGCACCTGAAGACGTCAGTAAAAATGAGGGTATACATATGGAGAGTATTTTCATTTTCATGACACAAAACACAGGCTGTGATTCCTTCACCCCACTAATGCAGAAATCACCACCACAAAATCACTGGTAGAGAGACATGCAGGAAGTCTCCTCTAGTTAGTATGACTTACAAAGAGAACATTACTTTTGGTAGAAAGGAAGTATCTAGGAGCTTTCCATAAATAAAAAGCTCCACGAAGTATTATAAAGAATTAACCTAGAGGGCCGGCCCATGGCTCTCTTGGGAGAGTGTGGTGTTGATAACACCAAGGCCACAGGTTCGGATCCCTATATAGAGATGGCCGGTTAGCTCACTTGGAAGAGCGTGGTGCTGACAAAGCCAAGTCAAGGGTTAAGATCCCCTTACTGGTCATCTTTAAAAAAAAAAAAAACCCATTAACCTAGAGATTAATCACCTCATTGTTCAGGACAAAATGGAGGTAGATATGTGTCCAGCTCTCACTTACTGAGGGGACAGGGACAGGGCAATGGTGCTCAGTCTTCAGAAAAACCAAACCTGTTCTCCAGCTCACTCTCTGCCTGTCTGTCACTCTGTCTCCCCCCGTCCCCCATCTCTGTCTCCCTTCCTCTCTCTCCCATGGCCAGAGCCTGGAGAAGGAATGTGGACAAGTCCAAGTGGGGCTGCAGAGTGTGATCTGGACCTGCTACATAATGGAGAGCCTATGTCCTAGTCTGGCATTTTGGGCACAAGAAACAGACTCACCCAGGTTACTGGATGGACAGAGGAGGGTGCTGGGGGAAGCCGGCTGGAGGCAGGGGCACTCTTGCCGGCTGGAGGCAGGGGCACTCTCGCCAGCCAGAGGAGACTTGCAACTCTATTGGCGCTGCCTTCTCTATCAGATAGCAGTGTCCTACTATCTTGGTCAACAGACTGGGCATAAAATCATGATTTTCCTATTATAAGAACTAATAAATTCAAGTCTTTGGAATTCCTTAAAGATAAAACTGTAAAAGTAAGTGAGACTCCAGTATTAACTGTTAACTAAATGTGAACAAGCCCACATTAACTGAGGTGAACTGCCCCAAACCCCCATTTCAGACTTCGATAAGAGACGGGGACAGGAGGAGAAGCAGCAGGAGGGAGCAGCGTGGGGAGGCAGAAGGGAAATTCTGGAACAAGGTGCTTCCACTGGGAAGTGAGAGAAGGGACCAAACCCACCAAGAGGGGACCGGGCGAGGCCCCCCTCTCCTCTCCCTCTCCTCCCTAAGCATGTGCGCTGGGGCCAGGTGGAGTTTGGAAAGAAAATCTCCATTACCTCTGGAAGCAAGAGCTAAGAACCAGAGAACCCAAGGAACACAAGTTGAGACCAAGTTACATACCAATCTGAATTGTTTCTAGACAAGATATAGAAAATATCTGTGTGCTGGTGCTTTGGACTAATGAAGCATGTATAAAAGTCAGAGATGGATGGAACACAGTCTGATGCACCATCGCTGCTGGGTCTGCCTGGGGTCAGGAGAAGGAGGTGGTGGTGTCGCTGGCCTCAGTGCTGGCTCTGAGGGAGGCCCGCCACGGCTGATCTCAGGGCACATACCAGGACCAGACTGTTTCCTTCTGGAGCTACCTAGAACGTATTCCATGGCGGAATTAAGCAAACACATGCCACCCCCATGGCCGCCAGACCCAGGGCCATCAGAGCCCACAGGAGGCCCAACAAGAGCAGTTCAACACTACAGCAGCCACACCCCAGAACAGGCAGAGCCCATACTAGGAGGACAGAGGGTCAGGGAGAGATGGAACATGCCTTTTTGTGTGGCTACCAATCAGAAGTTTCTGCAGTCCTTCCCGGACTCAGAACACAGCTTTCTGAACACTTCTCTTTCATTTCCAGGTTTTGTCCTGGTCATTGGGCTGGTGACTTTCTACAGAATTGGCCCGTACACCAACCTGTCCTGGTCTTGCTATCTGAACATTGGTGCTTGCCTGCTGGCCACCCTGGCAGCCGCCATGCTCATCTGGAACATTCTGCACAGGAGAGAAGACTGCATGGCACCCCGGGTGATTGTCATCAGCCGCTCCCTGACGGCGCGGTTCCGCCGTGGGCTAGACAACGACTACGTGGAGTCACCATGCTGAGAGTCGTTCTTCTCAGGACTTCATCTATGACTACCCACTATAACAGGACAGTTTAGAAGCCAAGGGACTCTACCAAGTCACTGTCACTGCATGTGCAGAGACGTGTGATGAGTCTGGGTCACCCACGTATACATACGTACGATACACATGTACATTCGCTATGTTATGTATAAATACAGTATACTCTATGTATCAGGTGCCACCCTATTTCTGACATACCTGTCCTCGGTCAGCGCAACGTGGCTTCATATGCATGCATGTGTCGAGGGTGGGGACTGGAGTCTAGGCACAGGGAGGCGGTGGCATAGCTGCCTGCTCTAAACCTTGGTCTGGCATTAACTTATTCTGCACCTGCTGAAAGCAGCACCCCTGGGCATATTTTACTTCGGTAAAGCAGGACACCCAGGAAGATTTTCTTGAAACGTCTGTGATATTCCTTGAATGAATCAGATTTATAACTAGATAGTAATGGTTATGGCAGAATCATGCTGGTAGTGTACGTTTTGCTCCTGATTATTTTTCTACATTAAAATAAATTCAAACCTCTTAAATCTGTCTAAACCTTGTGTTTTATCCATCTATAATGCCAAATGGGTAAAAAAAAAAAAAAATTGGTCAATTTATCTGTGATTTTGGCAGGCTGACATTAAGAGAAGGGTTGAAAGAGCCTTTTAAAGATCTGGTGGGAACATGTGCTCTTAGTCACATTTCTGTTCAGCCAAGTCTCAGAAGTCCGTGTTCCTACAGACTCTCTGAAAACTGTGGTCATATGACAGCAGATTAATAATTAGCAGAGGAAGAAGGAAGAAGCCTATTTGCTTCATGGTTTACTTTTTTCCCCAAGAAAAAAATCTTCAACCTATCTTTAACTGAATGCCACAAAAATGTCTCCACAACGCTACACTGATTCCAAACAACCCCATTTCCTAATATATAAGAGGTGAATAAGCCACAACTCCCCAGATTTGGCAGAAAGATCTACACCTCAAGGATCAAAACTGGCCCATGCCCCCTAGAGAACCCAGGGCTTCCTGACCAAGTTTGTAACCACAGCCTGGTGCCTGGCTGGATGCTGCCTTTGAGCCAGGTGCTCAACTCTAGGGCCACCTGGAGGCTGGGACCATGTTGGCATCTGCTGGAAGAGGAAGCTGACATGAGCAGGTGGGTAACGTGCAAAGCCGGAATAAGACCCTGCCCATTTGGCTGTCCTCTCCAAAACTAACAGATGTTTACCTTTGCTGCTTTCAACCTTGTGGCAAATGCATGTACATCAGTTTGGATTCAGAACTCTATATATAGCTCTAGGAATTTCTCTGGAATTTAGTCAGAACAAATAGTGAACTGGGGTTGACGCTTTAAAAAACATAAAAGTAACTGATAACGATTGAAAACCTTTTATGGTATACTCATCACAGTGTAGAAATAACCAGATTCAGGTCCACAGTATAGCACATCGATGGGAACATTCAGCTCTTACCTTCCTCTTCCTTGACTTTTCTCCCACAAGGGATTTTCATTCCCAATCAGTATACTAATTTTTTTTTAAAGCATAATGAAATACTTAAGACTGTACTACTGCTAATATTATGTATATGAATATGTAAAAGTTCATTAAAGTTTTAAGATTGTCCACGTGCGCAGTAATGGCCTGTGATCATGTTTACATTAAATGAAAAGCAATCGAAGGAAGGAATGCCCACAGTGCCCAGCCTCTCTGGTTCACCCCAAGCTGAACGTCTGCAGGGCTAGTGTGTGAGGAGGTCCTTCCAGTTGGAATACAGGTTTGGGTATTCCAAACTGTTTCATAAGACAGTGGACTGGGGTCGCGCACCATCTCAACATTTCAAAAGGTGCTTTCTGTGTTACAGGAATCACCAGTGTAAAATGAGGGCAGGCTTTGCCTCTGCAACTTAGTTTCACCTCTTTCTTTTCCCACTTTAGTAACATTCTTCAATAATTTTTCCATGCTTTGAAAATGACAATCTGTCAAATACTCTTATGAAGAATTTCTGGACTCTCTCAGGAATGGAGAACAAGGTGCTTACAGACAACCTTTGATCGATAACTTCTTTTAGAGTGGCTTTAATTGCATTTTCTTTTTTTTTTTTTAAAGATGACCGGTAAGGGGATCTTAACCCTTGACTTTGTGTTGTCAGCACCACGCTCACCTAGTGAGCCAACCGGCCATCCCTATATGGAATCCAAACCCATGGCCCTGGTGCTACCAGCACCACACTCTCCCGAGTGAGCCACGGGTTTGGATCCCATATAGGGATGGCTGTTGTTTGTGTTTACTTACCAAAACCTTTATCTGTTTAGTAGCGATTATTCCCGGATGGACAGATACTACAACTATTCAGCAACTGCAGAACTTTTGACTAGGAAGTGTCCACAACATTTTTAAAAAGTCAGAATAATTAAGTAACAGCCCAAGAGGCTCCAGCACCACAGAAGCCAAAAGCCAGGTTTGCCAGCTTCCCACACCAGCTGCATTACACCAAATGTACCTGCTGTGTGGCACCACGGGCCAGGCATGTCCTGGCATTGTGAGCTCAGTGGCCTTTAACTGAGTGAAGAGACCGTGAAATATACCGTGACATAGTCACAGAAGAGTTACTGATTTGAAAAATCTAACCTAGAAGGAGGCATGAAGAAGATGAAGACTCTAGGAGGTGTGTGCTTTGTTGCTGGACATCTCGGTGAACGGACTCCTACCTTTTGATGAGTTTGATGGATTTGAAAGCCTCGTCCATGTCTCCAATGGTGATGAAGAAGCTGAAGTTGAGCATGGCATCCCGCGTGGGCTTGTCACAGTCCTCTAGCCCAATGAAGTCACGGAGGGGTCTCCTGGCCGCCATCTGCGGTGTGCGGTGGTAGCCAGAATCCACCCCATCTCCTCTCTCTGCTTCTCCGGGCTAAATGACAAAGGGCCCGGTTGCTGTCAGTTCACATGTAAAGCTAGTGCCTGCACCTAAGTCTCTTCCTCTAGATTTATGTCGGTTACCGGGAAACACGCATCTGCAGACAGACACAGATCCTCAGCAACAAGGCCAAGCGGTCCCTCCCAAACACAATGAAAGCCTATAAGATCACTAGAAATTATTGGAGCTTGTGGCCCTAGTTTCAGATAATGGATGAACAAGGGCTGTTCCTTGAAGAACTCGTTCTTCAGCCTCTAACTCACTAACGTCAAATTTTCAACAACAGTTACAAATGGCTGTAACAGTTCCCATCTCCTGCGGTTGTTTTGTCAACCATGAAGACTTTTTACTAGCTACAGATCATCAAGTCAGACATGCGCACACATCTGCAAGGTCTCTTAAAGTTAAGTAATAGCATTATTTCAGGTAGAATTTTCCAAAATGGTAACCTGCATTAGTTCTGCATTCTCCACTGGTGTTTTTCAGAAGAGTCACCAACCTAGTACAGCACTCCCCTACACAGGCACACAGGAGGAAGAAACACTCCTGCAGGTCTTAACACAGAACACAGTCATACTTACACTAGTGTGCTGGGCCAGCCTCCTTGCCTGGGCATCTTTTCATGCCTGGCATCTTGAAACATGAGCTACTGAAGGACCGCTGCCCCCACCATGAGCCTAGTAGCTGTCCTCATCCTCTTTAACCGTCGGCTCCTTCCTCCATGCTGGGCAGAGGCAGGGCGTGGCTCTGCACCTCCATGTCTGTCCCACTCTCTGCAGGGCTGGACCACCCCACCCAACTATCTCCTTTTTCTCTGCAGATCCTGTTTCCCTGACATGCACATGCACTCCCTCGTGTATGATCAAGATGCACCCTCCTTGGGCTGGGCTTCCCCTGTGAGTCATTGGTCTTTTACATGCTGCTGCTCCGTAACTTCTTAAAGGGTAACTCTAGCACCTGCCTCCCCAGCTCAGCTCCCATTGGCTCCTCAATCTTACTGCTCCTCCTGAAGCTGACCTGCAGTCCCAGGGAGCTGCCTCACAGAGGAGGTGGCACTTGACCTGGGCCTCGAAAATCTGCTGGGATCTGTCAAACCCAGGTGTGGATGGAGAGGCCCTTCTAGGCACAATGCAGAGCAAAAGCAAAGGCCCTGAGGCAGCCGTAAGTCCAGGGTGGCTTGAGTTTGGGGCCCATGGACATATGTAAATCGGTCACACTGGGCAGAAGGCTGAGGGCTAAAGAGTTTGAACTAATTCTACATTAAGTGGGAAAGTGTCAGAAAACTTGCACACAGAAACAACAGGGAATTCCTGCCTGCCTGGTTTTAATAAACTGCAAGGAAGAGGCCTGACTTCCCGTGGATAACAACATCAGCCTTGGTGTGGTTCTCATGAGAACCCGGCTTGCTGCGTGAACACACTCGGGAATTCTCATCGTTCCATGTGCTCTGCTCACTGCTGTGACCTGTGCTTTGGGTCCTCATCACAGCCCTGAGGGTAGGGCTGTTTATCCTGTGTCACCGCAGACCAGAGCAGCCTGCCACAGTCACAGGGTGTGGGAGCGGGGGACCAAGAGCTGTCAGACTCTCTCACCCACTGCCCTTGAGTGTGCAGGTGCTGGAAACCTTGGAGAAATTAGGTTGAGGAATTTGAATGTAGGCAAGTAACATGAATAAGGGCAGTTTTTAAAAAATCAAAATACTTTATGGTTATTCCTCACTAGCATTTCAAAGGTTGAATTAATAACACTCCCTTCATTGCAAGAGGAGGTGAACTAAGTATTTCCTATATTAGAGATGTCACGTTGAGTGGTGGCTCATGCCACAGGTCCTGGAGGTTGTGGGCTCCTCTTACGCTTGCTTAGCAATGTGGGTGCACTGCTCACATAGAGAGCCAATGCTAAGTGTCTTGGGCTTCCCAGTAAATCTCACTATGAGGCATATGCAAGCTCATCAGAAAGCGTCAACGCACAGATGGTGTAGCTTAAAATACAGGAGGAAAAGAATCTTGGGAAAACTACATGGTTAAGGTACAAAGCAATGAACTGGGGAGTCTGTACTTACAACCGCACTATAAATGCCTCCTCTCTGGAACAACAGCTAAGTACAGAGTGCGTAAAGGAAGATGAGGAATGAGAGAGAAAAAAGAAAAGATACATAAACATCTGGAAGAAACAAAAACACCTACTGTGAAATTAATAGGAAAAAACTCAATAGGAATTATTTATGATATCTTCACAAGTTTTCACATTCTCAAGTCAAAGAGAAATTAAAACACATAAAGAACGCAAAATAAGAGGGAGTGTGAGGAAAAAACAAAACAAAACAACACACAAAATAAGGATGAAATTCAGAAAAATGTCAGTCTGGTAGAACGAATCTATTTAAAATATGGGAATCTAAGAAACCTGCATCAACAGAGAGGATGGGCCCCCTGAATTGGCAAGTCACACAAACACTTGTCCAAGATCAATTCCACTTTTACACACGTAAAAGGTGAGACATAAACTGTTCCTTACGCAGCCTCTGACAGCCGTGCGACACTCGATCCAGCTACCCCCAGGTGCACTCTTGTTTCAAATAAATACATCATCACACAGGATGTTCCAGGAGAGCCCAGGAACCACAGACTCACAAATACCTGGTCACATAACAATCACAAATAGAGAGGCAGCACATACCCCCCACCCCCCCATGTGTCCTTTGTGCCAAATCCTTTTAAAGTAAATAGCAGCCCTGGAAAAAGTCTGGGTGGGGCCCACACACCTGCCTTTGCCTGTGGTGGTGGTTCATGTCGTGAAGCCAGCAGTTGCTTCTGTGGCCACGCAGAGACCACGCGTGGGACTGCCTGTCCTCCTCCTCCTCTAAATATCCTTTTGTGGTCTACCCCTGCCACTCCCCCAGCTTAACTGCCCCCACCCCCTGCCACTTTGTGGTTACAAAAGTAACACATGCAATTGAAGACAGTTATAAAAGCACATAGTTCATTTTCAAATCCAGGTAAAAGTCTACACAGTTTGGTCCTTCCTATATGATGTGACAGTAAAACAGAAATGGCAGGAAGGCAACATACTTCTTCACCAAAGGCTCGCATCCAACAGGAGTAAGCTTCACTTTTTAAGGAAATAAAAGCAGCAACAGCAGCAGCAGCTGACTGTGTCCCAGTCCCTGAAGGGTGGAGCTGGTGGCCCCAGCCTCCCACCTGCAGGCGAACCACCTGCAGGGGCTCCTGATGATTTTGAGCCCTCAGATTGGCCTTTGTGAAAATGCTCCACAAGTGGCTCTGGGGGCTCTCAGGTCAGCGAGGCAAACAGAAGCACTTGCTCTTGGCCCCAGCACTTGGGCCTGTTTCAGAAAGCTCTTGGGGCTAACACACGCCGTTGTGCTGAAACACGCCCTTTGATCAGCATGTTGTTTCAGAACTGTGAACTGATTTAATTTCAGGTCTAGAAGGGCCCTTGGAAATGAAGAGACTAAGTCTCAGGGAGTGTAAGTAACTCACTCAAAATAACCTAGTTGGGGTGCATGCACATGTGTGCTGAAATGACCCCATTACATGAAAAATTTAAAAGATACATACGTGTATGTGACTCATGTACACACACGTAAGTACAGAACCCTTCTGAAATAGTCAGAGCAACCGTCTCTGGGCCGGGACTGTGGTGATATGTATTGTCTTTATTTCTTTACTTGTAGCTTCCAAATTTCCTATAGTGACTATAGGAATATGTAATTTAAAAAATGCAGACAGAATAAAAAAAGACAGAGGAACTAAGAGGTGTCGTGACCCCTCACCTGAGGACGGTGCTTATGACCTCAGTATGTGCTGGAATTTCTGGTGACAAATTATAGCAGGTGGCTGCACTTGTATAAATAGAGGCGGGCCATCAACCCTGGGCACTCAACTCACACTGCAGTGCCCTAGGAGGCATGGGGAAAACTCAGCAAGCAAGGGACAGAGCAGAGAAGGCCAGGCAGAACAGAGAAGGCCGCGCAGACATCATGGGTTTCGCACCTTTTTTGTGAAGTAGTAATGGGGCACCTCCATCCCCAGCAGACCCTGGTAGGAGAGAGGCCGGGGGAAGCTCTCGTGAAGCAGGAAGCCATGCTCCTCGGAAACGAAGAATGACAGAATCAGAACATCCACCTAGGAGAGAAAGGAAGATGTTGTTCCGGTTTTAAGCTGGCTATGCAATTTCCTACTTTGCTTCTAATTTCCACGGTCACTGCCAGGATATTTATTTAACACAAAGAAGACAAAGAGGAGCACACCTGCACAGGTAATAAACCTCCCTTCTCAGCGCATGGCCACCACCCACGCCTCCACCAGGGCTTCAGTTTCTTTTCAGTTAAGAATTAACAATAGCAACAAAGACAAAAAGATTCTCTGCTCTGCTTTCAAGGAACAGGGAATACACAACAAAGAAACTATGTGCTCTTTGGATTTTGTCATAAGAGCGGGAAAAAGCAGCACCCAGCTGCATCCCCTTGTCTGTAACCGCCTCCAAACAGAAAGCAGGAAGAGTGAAGGAGTGGCCCTGTGAGATGGATTCTTACACCTGAGCACCAGTGTTACAAGACAAAAAGAGTCATCTGCTCCAACTGCCAGGAAGCAGCCTTGCGCTGACACGTCTTCACTGCTCACCAGTTCACGATTTGCTCGTTTCTCCCATTCCAATGACAGAGGTGCCACCTTGTGCACTTTACCTCTCAGTGGTTCAGGATCAGGTCTGGACTTGCTAAAACCTCAGGGTATTGACCGAGACTGCAGATCATCTCAAGGGGTCCAAACTCTCCCTGTCCCCAGTAAGGGACTTTCAGGAAACAAGCCCTGAAATTTCAGGGCTGGCTGCCCTCTGCTGACTTGTCTGAGGACCCTACATACACGTTCCTCTTGGAAGAAGAGAATTGCAGAAAGGCACACTCAGATCTCTGGGCTTTCCCAGGGAACAGCTGACATCCGGAGAGACAGACTTGAAGGGTCAGAAACCCACCCCCTCTCGGGGAGATGGGGCCCAGGGTGCATATCAGCCTGGAGCAGTGGGTGTGGGGTGAGGGCAGAGGGCAGGGATGGGGCGAAGAAATTGCCGTAGTGGGCATCTGCCTGGCTTGAGGGCTGTGGAATGCTGTGGGGTGAACGAGGAGTACAGCGTGCTGCCTCGGATGCAATCACAGGACATGGTAACATCAAGGGGTCAGTTCATGTTAGCCATTTCATACAGAGCTCTGCCCTCGCAAGAGAATAACACGTACAGCGTTATAACAGAACCAAGCGACACCACCTGGAGTCAGACCAGACAGAAAGGGCAGAGCCAGCCCATGGTGCACAGGGAGGAGATGCACTGCAGTGGGCCTACCAATGAAATCTATAGAAACGGTTTTAAAGTTACAGTGATACTTCACTCAGTGGGACTGTGAGGCGGACACTCCACCCCACATGAATGAATTTCCTAATGGCTTTCCTGTAAGGCATGTCAGGAAGACCATAAGCCTGGGGAACGGTCACCAGGCGGCAAAGGGTACCATGGGGCCGGTGCTCTCCTGGCTGTGGGTCTTCTTGTCTGCAGACTGCGGCTGGGCACTAGGTGCCTGCTGCACAGCTTCACACACAAACAGCCGGGGCTCGCTCTGGTCCCAGAAATGGCTCACGGGAGTGTGATTCGTCAGTCTCTCGTCCGCAAAGACGTGGCTCCTAAGAAAGGGAAGACCCGTCCCCAACACTGAGAGGAGTGCTGTTATGAGCCTCCCCAACACACACCCCAGAGAGCCTGGGGTCACTGTCACCAGGCCGTGCTTCGACCTCACAGGCACTCAGCTTCGTGAGCACCTCTGTGCCCCACACTGCCGGACATCCTATCGGCATATACTCTGATTTTAAAAAATTGCCTAAAAGAGTCCTGGTAAAGAGTGGTTTGAGAGGGACACAAAAGCTGATGCTTTGGCTCTGGAGGTCTTGTGGAGGGTCTGGATGCTCCTCTTTCTCCAGGGCCAGTAAGAAGACCTCACAGTGGAACAGCGTCCCCTGTCGGCAGCATTAGGGGATCACCATTATAGCTCTGTGAGTCGGGTGTTCTAGTCCTGGTGGGGACCCTGTGTGCTGCTGCCCATCTGCCCTGGTCCCTCTCATCTCTAAAAGTCTATGTTTTGGGCTGAGCCCGTGGCGCACTCAGGAGAGTGCGGTGCTGGGAGCGCAGCAGCGCTCCCGCTGCAGGTTCAGATCCTATATAGGGATGACTGGTGCGCTCACAGCGCTCACTGGCTGAGCACGGTGCGGCCCGTCTCAAAAAGGACAGAAAAAATAAATAATAAATATATGTGTTTAAAGCATTGATTAAATTAAAATAACTTATCTTAACAGCTACTGTTATGACATTTCTCAACCAAACTTGATTCAAATGCATTCTTGATGGGCATTTTTGTTTTTGTTTTACTCCC